GTCAGGCTACGATTTGGGAAAAATTAAATAAGCGCCCCCATCGATTAACTGCCCCCCTCAAATAAGCGCCCAGGTTGTTGTTAACTAAAAACTGAAATTGTTGGGTTTCCCTTTCGGATTACGTCTTAAATTTATAGTTTTCAAAATTAGTCTCTTGACTTTTTCAGGGAGCAACCACTAGGTTTGCCGTCAACAAGCGCTGCACGATCAGATCAATTCCTGAGGAACGTCCTTTTACTCAAGAATGGTGATTTTCAAATAATCAGTGGCCAAGTACACATGCCAACTAATAGTGAAATAGCTACAATAAGGGCCAGGACACAACAGTATAAAAGGGGCGTAGAATTTAATGCGAGCATGACTTCCGACAAGGTAAAGAAGAAACTGGAAGAAAAGTTTCCCTACTTAAAAAACAAGAGGTAAGGCAAACTTTTAGATATTGTTCTTTGCCTTTCCGAGTTCCTTTACTTACTTGGATATTCATCTTAAGGGCAAGTACACCCAGCAACACCTGTTATAGAAAATGCCTCACATTTGATCGAGGAATGAAAAAGAAAAACCTCTGGAACCAATCCAACTCAATGAAAAAATGCAAACAAAAGGATTGGAAGGGCATTTTTCTGTTTTCCTGCAAATTTTACTTAGGGCAACCTTATTTAACGAGACAAAACTTTGATGAACAAAAATTATCGTATTAATCCAGTACCCAAATTTACGAGTTGCTCAGCTGTATTTCTGAAACGTCAACTCGAAACTTTTATACCTCTGAAACAGATATTTATTTATTTATTTATTTTTTTAGAATGGTAACAACATACAAAGATACACTAAACAGAAGAAGAAGAAGAACAAAAAAAACACTANAATTGTTGTAGAAAAGTTGAATCATTCTGATGAATTTCTCTGGTAGCCCATAGTGTCAAAGCAGTGCCCATAGCACTTGGTGGTCGATGCTATCGAAAGCTTTTTCGAAGTCTACAAACTTCAGATACAGAGATGTTTGAAACTCGATGGACTGTTCAATAATAATGCGAAGGGTCGCAATTTGTTGTGCGCAGGACCTTCCATTTCTAAATCCTGCCTGTTCTTCACGCAGTCATCCATCTACATGCACCTTCATTCTTTCGAGCATAATGCTGCTAAGCACTTTACTGGGGATGGACAGCAGAGTGATTCCTGTCCAATTTTTGCAATAGCTAGTGTCTCGCTTTTTTGGCAGTTTAACTAGTAGTCCATATTTCACAAAACGAAATCGAGTCAAAAAAGCGTGCAGAATTTAAAACATCGGCTGTAATATCATACATAATTTATTGGCCCAAAAACGAACTTTAAATTACTAAAATGCGAAAGAATGATTGACTTTTTTTGTTGTTGTTTTTCCCTTAAAAAAGCGACGAACGACAAACGAACTGCTTGCCGCTAATGATAAGTCATGCGTGAAATCATGCGGAACTCTAGGGATCATGTTTCATGCGTGCAACATCTGGAAGTCACGTACGCTTTCGAAAAATTAAAAACTTCGCAGTTGTTCGAAAATTTGAATGATGCCTACATAATATCGATACCTATGTTCACAACTTGTAAATAAAGTTATAATAATAATAAGATGGAACGTTAAGATGGAAAGTTAAGATGGAACGAATTGTTGTGTTCATGAGAAATCGTGAATTGGCATTTTGAAAGAAAGGAATGTTTTTCGGCGGCGAGTTACGAAGTTTTGTGGAAATTTCTCACGGAAGCGAACACTTCGGTTTTCGTTGCTGAGCGACGCCTATGATTATAACATCAATGCCTATGTTTGCAAATGTCTGTGTCTGGCTAGTGAAAAATTTGTTTTGGTTAGTGAATCAAACCTGTCACTAGCCACTGGGCTAGCAAGCTGAAAAGTTAGTCTCGAGCCCTGTAGTGTTTACCGTATTTTACACCTCTTCAATTTATTTCAATTAAAGCAACTCCCTAAAAGTGACAAAAATTAGTACCTAGCAAGAAAAAAACAGTCTTATGTAATCACAAAAATTAGTTCCGACAAAATTCAAAAAATTGCCAATCCGCAGAATTATACTTCCGCAAAAATTTCATGCCACTCGGTTGTCTTGCCAATGTAGACTTCACCGCATGCACAGGGAATCCTGTAAACCACACCATCCTGTTTAGCCAGGTCAACAGCGTATTTCAGTCATATGAAATGTGATCTTTGTGAAGTCTCCGATATGAAAAGGGCACGTACGCCTTTTTGTTGTAGGCTTCGCCTACGCCGGGCCGCTTGTTGTTGTTTAACACCTTATGCTTGCCTATTAATCGGCATTTCCCCACATTAATCTGTGTTAACTTTTTGTATTACATTGATCTTTAACTCTTTTTTTCACTTTAGTTTAATTTATTTTTGGATTCATGTATGGTTTACTGCAGAGCCCTTCACCCGGGTTCTTTTTTTTTCGCAGACAAAGATAAACTCCACACAAATGAAAATGAAGATTTAAAGCTACTAAACCCAGCCGCAGTCAGTGGTAACGTCTCAATCATCGAATCAATGTCATCATGTGGCAACATGCCATTCATGGCTACAGCTTTGCACAACACGATGGAGGGCGATCCGATGGGAGCAGATCAATCTTTGAAAAACGACTCTGGAGAGAACTTACTTCATAGTGCTTCACAGAGTGGTAACGCGGTCATCATTGAGAGAGTGTTGTCACATTATCTTGATATCAATTCAAAAGATGGTGATGGTGAAACCCCGTTGATTATCTCGGCTGAAAACGGCAAAGGGGAGGCCGTTAACTATCCTTTAGACAGGGGAGCACATCTGTCTTCGAAAGGCCTGTTTGGAAGGAACTTATTGCACATTGCTTCACAGGAAGGTAATGTTGCCATCATGGAGACATCGCTGTCACATGGTATTTATATTAATTCAAGAGATAGACTTGGTGAAACTCCGTTGATGATCGCGGCACGCTTTGGCAAAACCGAGGCGTTTAACTATCCTTTAGACGTGAGAGCAGATCCATTCTTGAAAGACCCGTATGGAAGGAGCTTACTGCCCTTTGCTTCAGAGAGTGGTAAAGAGGCCATCATCAAGACAGTGCTGTCACGTGGTCTTGATAACAATTCAAAAGATGGGGATGGCGAAACTCCATTGGGGACTGCGGCTCGCTTTGGCAAAACTGAGGCCTTTGGCTATCTTTTAATCAGGGGAGCAAATCTGTCTTCTAAAGGCCCGTATCGAAAGGACTTACTGCACGTTACTTCAGAGAGTGGTAAAGAGGCCATGATCAATAGAGATGACGAAACTGGGTTGATGATCGCAGCTGAAAAAGGCAAATGGGAGGCCGTTAACTATCTTTTAGACAGGGAAGTAACAGCTCCAGCAGCTCCAGCAAACTCCAGAAATCTGGGGGAAGTTTGTCGATGGGCGAAAGAGATGCCTAGTGTTCATACACTAACAGGTAATTAGTCTCAGAGACCTCGCGGTAGAGGGCATCGTCCTAGGAATTGAACCGGGGAATTAAACTAGAGTTAAAACAATTCTCCAGGTTATGCTATTTTTGGCTAGTACTATATTTAACGAACCAAACACCTCATCATTAAGTTTAGTCGCTAAGGTTCAATTAATACCATTAATATCATCAGACAGTCTTTAAGGTGGCTCTATATAGTTTTTTTGGCGCGCGAAGTATGGGTACTAATGGCGCGAGCGCGCGAGTATGGAAAGGAAAAGAAAAAACAAGAATAAACATGGCGGCGAGACTTTTATCGCGAGTCGCGTTCCACTTACCGCTATCCTTTTTGTCCCGAACAAGTGTTCATCACAAAACGCCAAGAANACTAAGAAAATTTGCAATTTACAATCTCCTAAATGTGGTGTTTCCGCCAATCTTATGACATGGTTTACATTGCTATTGTCGTGCACGTGACACTGGTCATATCAATATTCACCTAATGATTTTAAAAATTGTTTCTTGTTGTTTTTTTCCTTCTTAATTTTCCGTCAAATACTAAAATAGCCGTTAATGAAGTGATATAACTCATATTTTTTCACAAGGATAAAACTCTATTAAACCTTCCAAAAACACTGATGATGACTTCGTGATCGTACGTCAAGAGTGTTTGGTACACAGTTCATTGATGCAACTTATCCCACATACATAATTGTTGATCAAATAGAGGCAGAAGTCGAAAGCGATGATAAAATCCTAAAATAGCTCTTTGAACGTGACCCAAACGAGGGGAAATTACCCCGGTAAGCGATCAGCAGTATGCAAGCTGAGTTTGCATGTGTTTTGTCTGATCTTACATGACAGCAAACTGAGCCTAGCTATTCTTTGTCGGAGACTTGATATCAAAGCCCTGGACTATGGATATATTACACCTTCAGGAAGACTGCCAGAAAGAATTTCCGATCTTAGAATGAAGTCTTGAAATGATTTTCACAACGTCACTGTAGTCGTAACTCGATGCCCCCGCATGACTCTGATGTATGGCTAAGAGCAACAGGCTCAACCGTTAAAGTGATTCTCATTAGTATTTCCTTCTTTACCGCTTAACAGGTGCAGTTACAACAACTGATGAAGGGTCAAAAGAAAGTGAAGTTAAGGAAGAGTTTGTATGCTTGCCAAAAAATCTGAAAGGCTACGTCATCGGCAAGGGTAGAAGTGTATTAAAAAAAATTCAGCAGGAATCTGGAGTGGGAGTTGTGGCAAAGCCAAGGAACGAGGACGGGTTTACAGTCACTGGTAATAGGGAACAAATAGCATGGGCGAAGAAACTTTTATTACAAAAAGTGGTAGGTTGTAGTCACCTGAGAATACAGCGGAACTAGTACTCCTCTTTGCAACGCCCCTTGTAAGCGAACATCTCTTGTAAGCTCGGGAACGCTTAAAACAAGACCAAAAATTCCAGGTCAATTAACTATACGAGAAACCTCGCTCAAGTGGCAACCTATCGCAAAACGACCTGTTTCGCTATAATGGTGATGGCTTGTATCTATTTTTTGTGTGGGATACCGGTGGTATCCCACACCAATGTCATCAGGTTGCCACCCACACACTTCTTTCCCTTGTCTGCCTCTTATTTCTCATCTAGGGTCTCACTCATATTTATGTAATCAGTCACCTTGCTATTTATGGATATTTGCCCTCTTTTGTTGGGATATCTTCCTTTTTATTTGTTAGGATGCCTTTTTACAATCGCCCAATTGTATGGAATTGTACTATTTGTTTTGAGAAGTTCCTATTTTAGGAACATACTTAGCGATATTTTTTATTTCTTTTATTCCTTGCTTTTTACGGTTGTTTAAATCCTGCAGGAATAACCTTTAACAACCTAACAACAACTTTTTATTATTATTATTATTATTATGACTCGCATATTTACAGTTTTACAGAAATATATACACATTAAGTTTAAAAAGCTTGACAATAGCGACAGCGCCAACCTTAAAGATTGGTTTAGATAAATCTCTCCAGTCTGGAGAAATTTGATTCGATAATATCGCTTCAGTTCTCGAAAAAGAGCATTTGAAGATTTGCGACTTAACTTCTTTCCGAAGATAATTTCCTTTTGCGGCATGCCTTGTGTGGTACCCATGAATTTCATTTGACCTAGTGAAAAGAGCTCTGATAGGCGAAGGGGCTAGTTTTTTCCAAATATCATGCATGAGATTCACAATCGTGTCAAAATAGATCATATTTATAGGTAAAATCTCTGATTGAATGAAAAGAGGAATAGCATGAGCATCACTGGGCGCAAAATAAATCAGTCGAAGAGCTCATTTTACAACTGTGTCAAACGCCTTTTTCAGATCGATAAACACTCCAGTAGAGAACATCCCTTTGTCCATGTTGTTGTCAATGAAAGTGGCACCCTGAAGAGGTTTCTTTGTTTGAGAGGCTTCTATTTGCACATCTATGTAGGGATATCCTTAGAAATAATAAAGTATCTTACTTTGAAACAGAAAATAAGAGTATGCTTTTATACAACGTAACTGGGTTTATGTTTATCAGCTTTGACAAAGACCAAGACCAAAATTTTTGAAGTTCTGGAAGTTTCCTCATTGGTACAAGTAAATAATGAAAACATTTTTTGGCCATTAAAAATGAAGGGAGCCACGTTGTCCTCTTCGAGTGGAGAGAGTGAGATATCAGACCCTATTGAAGAAACAGACGACTAGAGCTCCCAATTTTTATTTGCCAAACACTTGTGTAGTGTCCACTTGTTTGTAATTAGCTGCCAGGTAGGCGTGTGCACGGTAAAGTTTGAAATCAAGGATGACTCAAGATATGAATTTTGGCCTGGCCATTTTTACACTAGAGACGCAAAATCCGTTTGGGACGGACCTGGGCGAACATCATCGAAGACTGTCTGGTTGTGCGTTTTGTAATTCATTTAGTATAAAGACAGACACAAGATTATTCATCTAGACGAGCTATCTTCTGTGGGCATGTGGTGCGTCGTTCAAGACGAACTTGAAAAGATAGTTCGTCTAGTCAATCTCTTCGCTTAGGAGCCCTTCATTCGTCCGGGAGAGCAACTTTTTAGATTCTGGTTTAACTTTTTTTGGAGCAACTTTTCCTTAATTTACCAGAGCAATCTAGATGGGCCTAACCGCGGTAAATCGTTCCAATTAGCAATTGGGGCGTGAGTATTGTGATTGACTCTTACCATTAGATATTTAGTGCTCATTCAGCTTTGAAATGGAAACGAACCTCGGCTTAAAAATGTTTGCTTCTGCTGGCTTAATAATGAATATCATTTAACTATATTGGCAGGATGGAGGAAGAGTGACGCATAAGGAAAGCCAGCTCAACAAAGACTTTAATTTTATACATGGATGGAATCTCCCTGCAGATTGTCATCTCAAACTCGAGCAGATTGCGAAAGAGCATGGTACTGATCTTCCAGAATCTCCTGCGCTGTACCGAATAAAACCAGCCAAGTCGCATGATGCACAGGTATGAAGTATGTACAACCCAGTCAGGGATTTAAGAAGGTTGTCTCTAAAAAGTTGTGTAACTAGAAAGGGAAAGAATCTCTGGAAAGGCCGGCAAGATTTGGTGACGGGGAAATAATGAAACGATTTTAAAACGATGAACGTTTAAGCAAATGTGGAAGTGGAAGGAGACGGAATTCTTTCTACTTCCCTCCATCCACTTCCATCCACTTTGAGTAGACAAAAAATAATCTATACCTATGTGCTCATCATCATCATCATCATCATCACCATCAATGTCATTATCATTATCATTACTAGCATCCTCATTATCATTATCATCATCATCATTATCACGATCATCTTTATCACCGGCATCATCGTCCTCATGATCGTCATTGTCATCGTCGTTATCAATTTAGTTTTTCCGGTTTGGGAAACTGTACAGGTCATATCTGATGTCAGTTAAACATCGATCGTTGACGTTCTGTTGCAAAGCTTCATGTTTCCTCAGGGTAGCTCCTCTTTTCCTCCTGGCCTTGTGCCCCTAAAACCAGTGCATTGGCTCTTTCTTTCTGTCATTTAAGTTTTTGCTTTCACTTTTCATTCAGTTGCCTTCTTAAATTCTTTGAAGGCCACAATCACGTTCGAATATGTCCTACTTTCATTACACACTCGACACATTCCTTTAGATTGGTTATTTTTGGTTTCAGGAATCTTGTTGTTTAAATGATGACCCAAGCCTTATGTCGAAACTTGACACTTTGGAAGCCCAGCGTAAGATGAAAAAAGAATGGAAGACGAGAAACCATGACATGTTTATCATCCACCAACCTATCGAAGGTATTGATAAACGGTAAAAACAAGCAAGGCCGCTTATACGGTGAGGAATATATATTTACAACCAACATAGGAATGCTGTGCCTCCCAAAATGTTGGTTTTAAATATATTTTCCTCGCCGTATAACCAGCCTTGATTGTTTTTGCCGTTTATTAATTCCAATAATATAGCTGGTAAGATCTACTACAGGATCCGGCTCTTTTATTTTGCAACGATGGTCCTTGTTTATATATTCCAGTTCTGTTGAAGGTATTACTTGCTAATTGTGGAAGCTTCATAAATTAATTGAACACGCATCCTGTCTAGAAGACGTGGCATAATATTTTACCTTTATTTCACAGTCTAAAGTGCCTGTTGCATTCATGAGGAAGTGTTTTATAATGCAACTCAGCGCAGCACAAAGCGATGCAATGCAATTTAATGTATGGTAATGTAATGTTATGTATTTTTAAGGCTCATTACATACACCGAGATGGGTCAGCTTACAAGCGGAACTCCCGTACTAATCATGGTTAATAAAAAACTTATTTCCTTAGTTGAAGGCTGAATGAAGTTGGATCAAGTACTCACATATTCACTTTAAAGCTGGTGGCGGCTTTCATTAAAATATGGAAATGCGGGCGAAAACAATAACATTGACATATTCTCCTTGAGATAGAGTCACAGCACGCACATGTTGAAAAATAGTAACAAGGTACCTCTATTCGGACAATTGATGCAAATAATTTCACTCAATAGATAGCCTTGGAAAAGAAGACACTTTTGTTGATCCCACGTCTAGAGAACTAAATTTATCGCGACCAGATCTAACGACCGAGTCATCGCTTGATCTTAATTTGCAATGTTCAATAACTTTAGAGTTTACGGATTGTTTTTTTTATTGATATTTGGCAGATGAAACTGGTGATGGGGAATACTCTATCGAAGAGGCTTTCAGCATGTCACGAGAGAATCGTTGGAGAACCTCTTTTAAAGGAGGAGTTAACCTTAACGAGAAAATCTTAAAAGATCATCTACATGCCTTTGACAAAACACCTGCAGAATACAGAGAGTATTGGTCAAGATACAACTTGACATTTTATGTGCCGAATGGTCGGCAAATATTTTTACGGGTAAGCTCACAAAACACTATTTTCACAATCTTTCCCTGATGGCCTATGCTCTAACATCAGAATATGACTTAACTATGGTAAAAAGATGTATAGAAATTGAAAAAGATAAGCGACAAAGAATATTATATGAAAAATTCTCTACGTTTCACCAGGGTACTAGTAATTTTCAGGACAATTGGGCTTCAGTTTTGAAAACAATTGGCCTAAATTGTTTTCGAAAAATTATTGTTATGTTACTATCTTTTAACAATGCGTGATTTCTGCCAAATTTCATTTTAGATTCCAATAGCACTTGACATGATCTCCTTTCACTACATAGTCGTGAGTCACGCAAAAAAAACCTTTACGTTTAGGGGAGGTAACGTCGCTAACGATGAGCGTATCTTGAGAGATGCTTTCGGTTGTTAGGAAATAGGTATGTGATAAAGAACAAAACAACAACAAGAATGCATATGCGAGTGATCATTGTGAGTGATCACTCACATCTTCACATTCTTTTTTACTTCACAGTTCAAATACTTGATTTTTTTTATATATTCACACTCATTTCAAACAACAACAGCATTAGTGGCATGAATTGTTCGTCCTTATTCCACAGCTGTGGGCAACAAAGAAGAACCTTGGCAAAAGGTTGGAGGACAGCCTACTCCCCGCATGTGACATAAAGAACGCACTGGAGGAAATACACTTTAAAAGTGTATTTACACGGTCACGATGCCGAGGGTGGCCATCGCTACCATCCAAAAGATATATGCGAGCAAGCATTTTGTTTCCTGGCTGCGACTTTGATTGCAGGCTAACCATCACTGGGCATGATGGTATGTTGTTGAGTTGTTGTCATGTCCCATGTCTTGTCTGATGTAGTCAACCCTCTTCACAGTCAATCTTCGTGATGCGACCAGTATTTAGAAGATTAAAACATCACTGCAATTCCTCTTTGTAGTTTACAGTAATTGAATCAACTCTTGAATATTTCTCTGGAAATCTCTTTGAAAGGCTCAGTCTATTACAAAAATAATTTCGCCATGCACATATTTTTGCACAAAATAAAATCAGATCTTTCTACCTTCGATAAATCAGGGAAGCTACTACGGTTATATTGCTGGCCTCAACACCTCTTTTTAAGCTATTACCTAGTACCCTTTTTTTAAACCCTCGCAAAACTGAAACTGACAAGAAGTGCCCAATTGGCTGATCAGTCTGCTGCCGTGTCGAAGAATAGCAATGGTCTGTCGTATAGCATAAGGGAGCTTGAAATGAATAAAAAATGGAGGATTGTTGTTAAAAACACTTATCTCTGTAACACTCACAGACGTCAATGAGAGATCATGTCATTGTGCCATTTTCTTTTAACAGACAGTGCTTTTGAACCCGACCATTGGCCCAGTGAAGAGACAAAACGGAACTACCTCACCTACCTGACTAGCGAGCTCACCGAAGTGACATTTGCAGATGAAGATGACTTTGGACTTCGCCTTCCAGAAAGAAATATGCCTGATGGATTTGAGCTATCCCATATGCAATGCTGTGAAAGATCTCTGTATGGATTCATGCCGGGATTTACAATTGTGTTTTCCAAGGAAATCTCACCGCACATCATAACGGCGAACTCTAGAGTTTCGGTATGAAATGTTAAAGGATTAGTTCTCTTTGAAAGAATACCTATTTTCAGCCTGAATATTTTAGAAAAATTTATAGCGGTAAATACAGTTTTTTTTAGGTGTGGATTGGTTTTTATGGTCACTCTTTTTGTGGTCAATTGTTATTAGTGTCATAAGAAAGTTAAATACAGTGAACTCTCTCAAAGCGACCACCTCTCGTGGGCGACCACCTCCCGCAAGCTACCACTTCCTAAATAACCGTTTTGCTTCTCAGTCAAATACTGTTTTAAAAACTCTCTCGTAAGCAACCACTGCTCGAATTTCCTAAGCGACCTCGACCGCTTTTTAGGCCAGAAATCTGACATTTTCTTTTGTTTTCTGTTTCGGGTAAGCGACCACCCAGCATGATCACGTATGATCGTAAGAAAATCATTGCCCAAATGTCAAAGAGTTCAGTTTTTAATGGCGCTAACCCTGAGTGCTGACAAGTAAGAACAGTTTACTTTAGACCTGCAGATACGTACAAGAATTGTTACAGTGATCTGTTGCAAAATGTTATGTATAAAGTTTCAACAGTACGTACTGTATTATATGATTCTCCAAGCGCTATTTGATGTGAAAAATCCCAGTGCTTTCCATCTTTTCCCTAAGCCATGGAATAGAAATATCATTGTCTCCGTAGAAAATGTAACTGCAGGGAATTTCCAGTCCATAACCTGCTCCTCGATTTACATGCTTTCCTGTTATGATGGCCTTTCCATTACTGATCCTTCGTTTCAGAAATTTGCTAACATACTGAGACATTTGTAACGGTATGTGGCCAATAATCTCATCCTCTTTGGACACGGTATTGGGATGTTTGGCTTCAGTAATTAAATTTCTCGACAGCGGCCTCACTACTGCAACAGCATTACCATCTTTTCGATTTCGAGTTCTGTTATTGCACGTGGTGACGTTTTGTTTGGTGCTCTGTTTTGATTGGCCGCGAAACATTTTATTGTCACCACATGAGTTAATAAATCATAGGGTTCTCGTGCGATTTTCTCACATCATGTACTCATATATGATGCATGTGTGCTTTAACAGAGTCTTTTTGGAGGTCTTAGAGATGAAAAACTGTGTTAAATGCTCACTTCAGACAGACATACTATGTAAGACCCGTGCAAAACCTCTGTGTAACAAGCCGAAAGAATGTTCAGTCCCTGCTGACGAAGATAGTCTAGGCTGGAAAGCTGGTGTTTTGGTGGCTTTTTGCGTTTCTTGCCCTGAAGTGCCGATCCCGAATGCGCGGACCAAACAAGCAATCGTCCCAGTTAAGGACAGCAAACCAGTTATCAAGAAATGCACGGCGAAGAAACAACCAGCGCCCTCACAATCTGATGGCTGTCAAAGGAAATGTCTTTAATACTCTGAAAGAGAAGGTAGAAGTTACCCGGAGATCTAACGAGGGTAACAGCTCGAGGAAGTTAGCGCAAATGGTTGATTGTGGGAAAACTCAGATTGTCAAAATCCTGAAGCGGAAGGCTACGATTCTTGAATCATGGAACTCTAATGGAGGAACCCAATCTCAAAAGAGACTAAATGTTGAAAAATATGCTGAAATCAGTGGTTTGTTGTGGAAATGGTATCCCAGAGCGAGAGCGTCAAATATCCCTGTCGACGGCCCCATGCTGGTCAAAGAAGCACGAATTATTGCTGAGAGGATTGGAGACGACACTTTTAAAGGAACAAGTGGCTGGCTAGAAAAGTGGAAAAAGAGACATCGCTCAGATGAACATTGCTGGGAAAGAGGGAGATGTTAACCCAGAGACCATAGATAGCTGGAATGAAAGAGTGAAAGAACTGACTAAGGGCTACTCACCTAGGGATGTATGGAATGAGGACGAAAGTGGCTGCTCCTGGAATGCGATGCCTGAGAAATCACTCTCTCTAAAGGGAAAACTGCAGAGTTGGCAAGAATGCGAAGCGACAAATAACCGCTGCATTCTTTGTGAATTTAGAGGGCAAGAAAGAGGGCCTTATTGTGATAGGAAGTAGCAGATTGCCGTGCAGTACTTCAGCAATGAAAAGGCGTGGATAAGAACTGAGATAATGGTTACTATCCTTACCAGATTGAACAACCGTCTGATGATGAAGTTATCGCAACTCACACAAAAAACAACAAAACAGAAATAGAGATTGATCCGGACAGTGATGATGGCAGTGACGATGCTCCTTTACCAATCCCAGCAGTGCAAACAGTAAAGGAAGCACTCGACCTCTTACATCAGATTGCTGAGTTCGCGATTATCGGGGTTGCAAAGAGTTGTCCTCGGCAGTCACGAAAGTGTCTAATATTCTTCTTGACTTGAGGCTTAAAACACAGAAGCAATCGAGCATTCTAGACTTCGTGGTAAACTACGAGTAGTCCCTCTTTCGCTTAGTCCGTCGTGCGTGACGCGAAAGAAAACCGCGAGAAAAAAATGGCCGCGCGAAATCCTGGAGGCGAGGA